CCGGGGCCTTGGTGTTATCAGCACCACACTCTCCCGAGTGAGCCACGGGCCGGCCCTCCACGAACTTTTTGAAGACACTTTATATACCAGATTGGACAAAGAGTAGTAAATTGTGAAAACATGACAAGACAAAGGGGTTTGGGCCAGGGAAGTTAGTTGTGGAAAATTGACTAGGAAGATAAGGGTTATTTTAATAAAGTTTGTACAGATTTCTGTCCCTCTTGACACTCCATTTCTGGTGATGAGAATGTCTTCCTTCCTCCTCCTCCTGTTATGAAAAGAGCACCTTTTATGTTGTTGTTGTTGTATTTTGTTTTGTTTTGTTTTTTTTGCAGCTGGATTGAACCCTGGACCTTGGACTTCCTGGCCTCCAGAACAGTGAGAAATAAATTTCTGTTGTTTATAAGCCACCCAGTCAATGCTATTTGGTTATAGCAGGCTGAACAGAAAACAACTGTTATGGTTTGAATATGGTTTTTTTTTTTTTTAAAAAAGATGACCGGTAAGGGGATCTTAACCCTTGACTTGGTGTTGTCAGCACCATGCTCAGCCAGGGAGCCAACCAGCCATCCCTATATAGAATCCGAACCTGTGGCCTTGGTGTTATCAGCACCGCACTCTCCCAAGTGAGCCAGGGGCCGGCCCTTCTTTGGCTTTTAAAATTAGAGGATAGTTACCTACTTTGCCCCACGTTTTAGAAAATCTTTAAGAAGCAAATACCTTTTTTGGGAGGGGGTTAATGAGAGACTGTCCATTTTGTGAAATGTATTTGTTTAGAGATTTAGATCATCTGTGATTCATCCCACACTCTTGAAGCATTTTTGGACAGATCTTTCCGAACTCTTGAGTGGTGTGGTTAGAGGTGAAGGTAGTGCATGCAGGTTGGTCCCTCTGGACACATTCTCTCAAAGGAGGCACCTTCTCCAAGGTTTGGGAAGGCTGTGATTAGAAATAAGTGGAGAGGACACTGTGAACTGCCCCTTGGAGCACCAGTGGCCAGCAGGGGAGGAGTCAGAATTTGTGGGACCTAAAACTCTTATAATTTGGAAGGCCCTCTTTAAGAAAAATAATACAAATTTAGGCATCAAAGTGAAAACTTAGAATGGAAAAGAAGTCACACCTACTTACAAGTTTTAAAAAACTTATAAAACTACAAACAATTTAAAACCCAGAAAAATTATAGAATTCTTTTATATTTTTGGCTCAACTTTATAATATTTTCCCCCTATGTTTTTGGTTGCCTACTCTAGATAATTGATAACCTCTTCACAACAATTTTGTAGCATATTTTACTGTAAAGAGACTAGAAAAATAAACCAGTTTTTCTTCTAGGATGATTGAAAAAATTTTTTAATTATCAATAACTTAAAAAAGTTTCTTTCAAGGTTTTACCGCCGGCCCTGGTTTGAATATGGTTTGTCCACACCAAAATTCATGTTGAGGCTTGGTATCCAACATGGTGATGTTGGAAGGTGGTGCCTTTAATAGGTGATTAAGTCATTAAGATGTACTAACGTCTTTTTCTCAGGACTGAGTTAGTTCTCTCAGGAATGTATTAGTCCTGTGAGAGTGGGTTGTTATAAAGCAAGGCTGCCTTTCATGTTTTGCTCTTTTCACAAGCAGCTAGTTCCTCTTCCGTTTCTCTGACCTGTTTGATACAGAATGAGGACCTCAACAGAAGCTGCCAGATGCAGCCACCCAATCTTGAACTTCCCAGCCTGTAGAACCATGAGCTAAATAAACCTCTTTTCTTTATAAATTTACCCAGTCTTGGGCATTCTGTTATAGCAACACAAAACAAACTAAGACAAAAAGCTTTAAGCCTCCCCCCTCCCCACAATCAGAATTCTTTCTTAGCTCTCCCTCAACACATTGCTAATACCTTTACCATAGCTATTAATTCATTCTGCCTAGTACTTAATTAGTGATTTACATGATTTTATAGCTTCTTTAAATGAAGGTTCAGGGCTGCTGGTTAGCTCACTTGGGAGAGCATAGTATTGGTAACACCAAGGTCACATGTTCAGATCCCTTTACGGGACAGCTGCCAAAAAAAAAAAAAACCATAAAAAAATAATAAATGAAGGTTCAACAATGTATTAATTGTATATCACTCCACAGACTAGCACAATGACTGACAGGGCCCAAAAAATATCAAAACAAACTTTTTTCAAGCCACTAAAGACTCGGGAAATGTAATATTTTACTATGGTAAATCTTTTTGCAAAGCAAATAATCTCTACTTAATAACAGTCTTTAAAGCATAGATTCCTATAAATTATCTGAACTTACAAAGTATCAAACACATGTGCATAAGCCAATTAAATCTTGCTTATTAAATCTTTATCATTGTGAAGGGGTCCTACAAAAGGGAACTTGGGCTTTCAGTCTCACACTGAGATGCCCAGTCCTCATTAACTGTTCAGCTGTGCGAGGCACAATTATCCCCCATCTTCTTTTCTACACATTGTTTGCAGCATCATTCAATCAAATATTTGAGAATTTACTATGTTAGGAACTGGGCATGCAATGATGATAAACACAGTCCCAGGATTTGAGGAGCTCATAGTTTAGTAAGGAGGAGGAAGACTGAAAAGTAAACAAAAGTTTGGGGCTGGCCAGCTAAATCACTTGGTCAGAGCAGGGCAAAAACACTACAGCCAAGGGTTCGGATCCCCATACTGTCCAGCTGCCAAAAAAAAAAAAAAAAAAAAAAAGTAAACAAAAGTGACAATATAATGCAATAAATGCCACTACAAAAGTAAGTGTGGTGGGCCGGCCCGGTGGCGCACTGGATAAGTGCGCCGCTTGGGAAGCGGGGCGGCGCTCCCGCCCGAGGGTTCGGATCCCACATACAGACCGGTTCCCGCTCACTGGCTGAGCGAGGCGCGGGAGCAACACCGAAGGTTGCAATCCCGTTGCCGGTCCCCGGTCCGGTATGGGGGCAACACTGAGGGTTGCGATCCGTTACCGGACACGGAAAAAGACAAAAAAAAAAAAAAAAGTAAGTGTGGAGTGTAAAGGAAGCAAATAACAAACTTAATATTTGAGGAAAAGGGAAGGCTTCCCAGAGAGGATAACATTTAAGAGATCCAAAGGCTAAGAAAGATTTGATGAGGGAGCAGGGGTCAGGAAGAGTGTTAAAAGGAGGCAGAGTGACCAGCCAAGGCAAAGTACTGAGGCTCAGAGAGAATATGGCTCATTTGATAAACTGAAAGTAGTTCAGTATAGCTGGATCAGAGTTTAACCAAAGCTGGAGAATGGAAAGAAATGATGCTGGAGTTAAGTAGGGCCATATTATGTGGGACTTTATGAGTCAGGCTAAGAACTCTGAACTCCTTGTAATGAGTTCATTACAGCTGACGCCCCCATTCCTTGGTCCCTACACTAGCAGCTAGCTAGAAAGACTGTGACAATGTTATAAAGAAAAATGTAACTTTAACTTGCACTGCTGCCTGTAATGTAACTTTAACCTGCACTGTTTCCTGTATAACTTTAGCCTGCACAGTATAACTTTAACTTAACCTGCACAAATTGTTCCTGTAAGAACTTACTAAAAATGAGGAAAACATATCTAAAGGTATTTTAAGTGAAACAGCTTTTAGAGGTCAAAGCAGAACTAGACACACATTCCAGAGGCCAGCCGGTCTCAAGGCCTAACCAGCCCTCTTATCTTCAGGACACCTGGCAGAGCCCAAGTGATTGTTAAGCCTGACCATGAATAAAGTCTTTGTCCAAAGAAAGTGTATAAAAACTCCAATGTAAAGAGGGAGGGGGCCGCTTTCCCGAAAGGCAAAGGGCCCCAGCTAGCTGGAAAATAAAATTCCTCTTGCCTAATTGCAGAGTCTCTTGTCTTGTGGTCTTTGTGAAGTGAGCCACCCCTGGCGTGTGGGATTTGTGCAAAGTGCACGGGTCTTACAATAACTAAGGGTGTGGAAATCAGAGGATATGCAAAAATTAGGTAACAGATCTTTTTGGCTGTAAATTCCTCTACCTATATCATTAGTTTGCCCTACAATGCTCTTTGCGTGGCATCTGAGAAGGTGAAATTTCAAAAGAACTGCCCTTAGTGAAGCTGCACTTGACATAGGTCAAGATTATCTTCAGAAACAGTAAGGAAGGTACAAAAGCCCTATTGCTATGTAGCACATAATAATGACATGTAAATTAGCATGTCAAATTAAATCTGTTCCAAGTTTCATTTGATTATAACACTAATTTCTGTTTACCGAAGTCTGAGCAAACATGTATAAAAATCAGTGTTGCTAATCTGGTCATACACTCATTTTTAAAAATTAAAGGGAATATTATACCCAACACACTTGTCTTCCTGTGCCAAACTTAGAGGATAAAACACATACTAGTAGCAGAAAAGAAAGAGGCAAAGTCAGCATGTTTCCTACTTGAGTTTATTCTTGTTCTTTAAAAAAAAAAAAAAAAAAAAAAAAAGAGGTAAGGGATGGAGGGCGAAATAACCCATAAACACTGTGACCAGGAACCAAGACTCCAAGACTTGGGCACACTCCCTCCACCCTCAACCTCAGTTCTCTGAGATTCCCACCCACCCAATTTTCTTTTAAACGAGACACCCAAATCAGCAGCAAAGGTACCTGGGGTAGTCACTGAGATTTTGAACACTGGGAATGGAATAGGGAAAGTCCAAAAAATAGGAGTTGGAAAGAAAAGGGAAGGAATGAGAGAGAGTCTAAGCTCTGGAGGACAGAGTTGGGCCGCAAGAGGTGGAAGTGAGCCAGTACGGGTGGTACCCCTCCTGATTGCTACTGCCCACATTCCCCCGGACCCCAGGGAGCCCCATGGTTTGTTCTGCAGTCCATTCCCTATTCCCCAAAGGCCTCACAGGCCTAGCTCCAAGTCCTCTAGTTCCTCCTCCAGCGCCCTTCTCCTTGCTAGCTTCTCCAGCTGCTCTTTGCTGGGCTGGCTGACTTCCCCAGCCTGGATCCGCTGCTGCAGCTCTTCCACCTGCCGAAGCTTCTTCTTTAGGTTCTTTATCTTCTTGGCTTTCTCAGTGGCGGCAGCTGAGTCAGGCTGGTCAAAAGCAGTTGTTGGGGCTGCCCGGGAGCCCTGTGGAACACTGGGGAGTTGGGCTGTCTCTCCCAGGGACACCTTATCAAGAGTCCTGCTCAAGGCCTCTGCCTCTCCTTTCTCCTGTTGCTGCCGCCTCTTCTCCTTTCGCTTCAGGTTGCGTTTGGCTGTCTTGGAGAGACCTGGTTCACCACCTTCAGACCTGGACGGCGTGACAGGAGCAGTGGCCTCGGGGCTCAGCCCAGGGGGAAGTTCTGGTTTACTCTTGAAAAACTTCACATACTTGTTTTCATACCTGTAGAAAACAGAAGATGTCAACAAAGTTTCAAAGAGTCACTAACTTTTGCATCCCTTTTCTTAGCCTTCCAAATCACTTCACCCTCATCACATCCCTGCTTCCTTCCTTTCTTTATAGTCCCTCCCCAATTTTCTTCTGCTCTGCAGGAGAGGTTGTCAGAGGGTCCCTAGAACCCAAACTCTGGATCTCCAAATGATGCCATTTGGAGATTCTGATGAACAGAGGTCATAGGAACAGGACTACTCACCATAACCCTCACTCATCCCTCAATCCCAGCCCCTTCCTCTCCTTCCTCAGATAGTTGCCTTTCCTTCCATTTCCTTGGGGTTCAGGAAAGTCTTCCCTGGACTTGGAGACACACATATTCCATCCTTCTATAGGGATCCCATTAAATGCCCCTCCTAGCCTGGCCAAAATAGCTCAGTTGGGAGAGTGTTAGACTGAAGATCTAAATGCCCCTCCTCAAGCCTAACCACCCACACTGGAATCTCCTCCTGGGGCACATAGCCTTCTTTCACCCTCCGCTGCTTGCGCCAGGTCCCGTCAGGTCGCTGTGTTGAGGCAATGTACTTGCCTGAAATGAGAGAAATTAAGTTGGAGAGTTACTCTTGCTTATTTCCAAACATTCCCCAAGATGAGAGAAGAATGCATAAATGTACATAGCTCCCCTCAGCACCCATCCATTCACCAAATGCAACGATTAAGACATCTTTTCTCATATCAGCCCTCAATCCCTCTCTCATTATTATTTACCGAGTGCCTATATACTGTACAACACACCATTCTTGCCCTCAAGGAGCTTCTTTTTAATTTCTCATTCCATTTTACAAGGAAGCTTTATTTTTTAATTTACTTGGCAAGACAAGACAGGCAAAACGAAAAAAATTTGAGGGGGCGGCTGGCCAGTATGGGGATCTGAACCCTTGACCCTGGTGCTACAACACTGTGTTCTAACCAACTGAGCTAACTGGCCAGCCCAATGCATTATTTATTTATTTTTATTATTATTATTATTTTTTGACCGGTAAGGGGATCGCAACCCTCGGCATGGTGTGGTCTGCACCACACTCAGCCAGTGAGTGCACTGGCCATCCCTATATAGGATCCGAACCCACAGCCCCAGTGCTTCCAGCGCTGCACTCTCCCGAGTGAGCCACTGGGCCGGCCCCCAATGCATTATTTAAATTAGCAAAAAGCTGAAAGAAACTTAAATGGCTATCAATAGATGAATGATTAAATAAATTTGGTTCATCTACTCAATGGAACACCATGCTGTTATTAAAAAGAATGTTAGATATAATGTACTGACATTTAATAGTGTTTATGATATACTAAGTAAAAAAGCAAATTTCAGGATAATGTGCAGAGTAGAGGTCCTCAAACTTTTTTTATTTCAGGACCCCCTCTTTACACTCTTATTTTGTAATATTATGCATTTCATTATCCAATATTGAAAGAAATCATATTCATTAATCTCGTCAGAAAAGTCTTTAAGTACTGGGAATCTGTCAAGCTCACAATGGCAGATACAAGTTTTCCAAAATTTTGTTTTTCACTTGAGGGTTGGAATTTTATCATTGGTAACAAGTGCTGTTTTTTTGTTTTTTTTGTTTTTTTTTTTTTTAAGATGACTGGTAAGGGGATCTTAACCCTTGACTTGGTGTTGTCAGCACCATGCTCACCCAGTGAGCAAACCGGCCATCCCTATATAGGATCCGAACCCGTGGCCTTGGTGTTATCAGCACCACACTCTCCCGAGTGAGCCACGGGCTGGCCCGCTCTCTGTTGGTAAGCTTGAAATGACATGCTCATTTTCTTCACTTTTAGGAAAATGATCATAGTTTGTCAGTAATTCGTTTTTTTTTTTTTCTTTTTGGCAGCTGGCCGGGACTGGGAACCAAACCCTTGACCTTGGTGTTACAAGGCTGTGCTCTAACCAACTGAGCTAACCAGCCAGCCCCATTAGTAGTTCTTTCAAGCGAAAAGGTTGTTCCATGAAAAGAAAGCTTGTCTAGCTTGCAATCTGGACAATTAAGCAAGTGCTTCTCCTTGAGACAGCCGTCTTACTTGGGTATGCAGCAGTGCACCATGCTTACTTCTCATTTAGTCACAGAAAACATTTAAAAAATGTGTACTCAAGGGCCGGCCTGTGGCTCACTCAGGAGAGTGCGGTGCTGATAAAGCCTGTGGCTCACTCAGGAGAATGCGGTGCTGATAACACCAAGGCCACAGGTTCGGATCCTATATAGGGATGGCCAGTTAGCTCACCGGCTGAGTGTGGTGCTGACAACACCAAGCCAAGAGTTGAGATCCCCTTACCAGTCATCTTTAAAAAAAAAAAATTTTGTACTCAAGGGCTGGGGTTTAATAAAATTAATCGTTTTTACTGCATCATCAATTATATTCTTAAGTGAAACTGGCATTGTTTACTAAAAGCATGTGGCAGTAAAAAACACAATGACTAGTACAGTTTGGTGCCATCACCTTGCCAAAGGCATGCTTAAGGGGCCAGTAGTTTTACCTACCATGTCTTTTGCACTATTAGTGCAAATGTCAAATCAGTGAAAAAGGTAAATAAATCTTAGTATTATTATAAAAATAGTTTTGCTTACAGACCTCCTGAAAGGGTCTTAGGGACTCACCAAGGGTCCCAGACCACACTTGGAGAATTGCTGGGGTAGAGTATGGTCCTATTTTTGTTGGGGAAAGGGGCAGCTCTTAAAAGTCTATGTAGTCTGTGTAGGGACAAAGAGAAAAGTGTGGAAGAACACATATACCAAGTCTTTAATGCTGGTTATCTTAAGAGAGATAACCTGGAAGAAGTATATACACATAGATAGAAGCTAAAGATGTATTTATATATATACACACACACACACACACAGTATATATAGAAGGTAATGGTTTCTACCACCTCTTTTTCCAGGTTATCCCTCTTAAGAGATATATACATATGTGGTTTGTATTACTCTTTATGTTTTGCTTTTTTTTTTTAAGTACTACTTATATAAAAATAAAGGAAAAAAATATTTTTAAAAGAAAAGTCAAGACTAGGGCCTCCCATATGAATTATATATTGTTAGATAAATTTCTTTTGTTGTTCAAAATGTAAATATCGGGGCCGGCCCGGTGGCGCACTCGGTAGAGTGCGGCGCTTAGAAGCGCATTGGCACTCCCACCGAGGGTTCGGATCCCATATAGAGACCGGTCCGCTCACTGGTTGAGCGTGGTGCGGGTGCGACACTGAGGGTTGCGATCCCGTT